AATGGAGTTCTGGGAACTCGAAGAGCACGAAGTGGCCTACAGTTGGCTCCGGGCATTCAAAATGTGGCCCGGGAATGGAGTTCTGGGAATCGAAGAGCACGAAGTGGCCTACAGTTGGCTCCGGGCATCCAACATGTGGCCCGGGAATGGAGTTCTGGGAAGTCGAAGAGCACGAAGTGTGTGACTGTTGCATCCGGCCCTCCAGAATGTGGCCCGGGAATGGCGTTCTGGGAACTCGAAGAGCACGAAGTGTGTGACTGTTGCATCCGGTTATTCTAAAGGTGGCCCGGGAATGGCGTTCTGGGATCTCGAAGAGCACGAAGTGTGTGACTGTTGCATCCGGTTATTCAGAATGAGCCTGGGAATGGAGTTCTGGGAAGTCGAAGAGCACGAAGTGTGTGACTGTTGGTGAAAAACGAGTTCGGCACAGGCCCGCCCGGCAACTCCCAACACCTGCCCGGACCCCCCTGTGGAGTGATCTGTGACCTCTTTTGACACTACTAGAAACCTATCAGTCTTCGCTGTTAGGTAAAAAATGGGCAACCTGTTTTTTTAAAGGGGTCATCGATTGCATAACGGGGAGGGGGATCGAATTGGGCCCGGCAGACCTCCAGCACGCGCAGCGCCTGTGCGACCAGAGCGCCGCTCGTCATAGCTCGGCCTAGCTCCGCCCTAGCTCCGCGGCTGTAGCTGGGATCGCTCGAGGCCCCCTCCCGCCCCGAGGAGGGCGAGAGAGATAAAACGGGCAAGGGGAGGAAGAGCGGCATGTGCAGGCAGAGATAGACGAACGGAGCAGGTGCAGGGGTGGAGGCGAGCAAGCAAGCAAGCAACCAAGCAAGCAAGCGCGCACGCAAGCACGCAGCAGCAGCAGAGCAGGCAAACGACTTGGAAGCACATCAGGCTTGCCCCCCCCCTCAGCACCACAGTACCCCGTGGTAGCCAGCGACACTCACCAACGACCGAATGACCGACACACTCAAAACAGCAACCCGCGTACCAGACCACCACCACCACGCACGCAACACAACATTCAACAACTATGCAAGCACACCTGCCTCCACACCGAACCGACAAATCAGCAACAACAGCCCATCAACCAACTAACCAACCATTTCATGTTACAGTTATCTTGTAAACGCACCAATCATCGCGAGAAGCGTCCAAGAGGACACAAACGGACACAAGGGACAAACAGAGACATGCAATAACATGTAAGGACATGTAAGGACATATGAGGACATTTCAGGACATAAATCCTATTCCGCACCAGCCGCGCGGATAGTATGGAAGGTGGAGGCCCTGGGAGAGGGTTCCATGATGACCGCGGTTGGGCCCAGGGAAACGAGGTTGATTTTCTTTCCGAACGTTTTGGGCAGATCGCGCCAAGACGTCCCGAGAAGGCTCCAAGACGGTCCAAGAGGCGCCGCGCAGAACGTCCGAAACGAGCGTCCAGAGTGCCCCGAGGAGGCCCTCCAGCTGACGTTTCGAACCCTCGGCTTCCAGAGGGCCGCCGAGGCCGCCATCAGGCCCCAAGGGATCCCCGAGCGGCCCTGATGAGGCCCCCGAGAGGCCCTTGGAGGCTCCACGGGAAGCCCCAGGAGGCCTCAAACAGGACGCCCAGAGGCTTCCCACGAAAGCTCAATCTACACTGCGAAAGGGGGCCGCCGAACGATCCCCGAGCGATCGGAGAGGCGTCGAGGCGGTTCAAGAGGGCCCCCAATCGGCCCCCCCTCGGCGGCGGAGGAATGGGAGAAGTGCAGGGGTTTAGTGGGCCCTGGAAGCGACAGGGCCGTTTTTTACCGGTTCCGTTTTGCCGTTTTCTGCTGGTTCCGACGCCTTTTTTTACCGGTTCCGTCGCAGTTGTTTTGATTGGTTCCGGCCACAGTTCCGATTTTGGAGCCGTTTTTTTGCCGTTTCCGGTCGCCGTTGTTGTTGCCGCTTCCATTTTCGAGGGACACGTTTTCGGGAAACGGTGAAAAAACTGCCCTGCCGTTTCCGGGGCCCACAAAGTGCAGGAGTGACGAGAGAGGTGATTGGGATGTGGAGGGGCGCGGGAGAGATGGGGGAGAAGTGGGGGGGAGCGGCGGGCAGGAGCGGGGAGGAGTGGGTGATAGAGGTGGGAGGAGTGGGACGGGGTGGAGCGCGGCGGCGTGGAGCGCGGAGGAGCGGAGAGGTGGAGCGGACTGGGGGGACTGGGAGGGTGATGGCGGGGGAAGGGTGAGGAGGCTGGGGGAGGGAGGGGGGGGGGGGCCGCCGAGGGACGGCGGAGGATGGAAAAGTGTGGAGGACTGCGGAGGTCGGAAGAGCGCGGAGGAGCCTGGAGGAGTTGGGAAGAGTGTGGAGCGGACAGCGGGAAGAGTGGAGTGGTGCGGTCGGCGGGGCACTCTGTGTGGCCCGGGCCTCTCCCGACTGTCCGCCCAGCAGGCCCCCCGGATGCCCGTGAGGGCCCCGACGACCGGCCCAGCCGGCCCCGACTATCCGGACAGCCCATGAGGGCCCCGAAGGCTCCCCCCGGAGTTCCCGGCAGGCTTCTTTTTCCCGTTCCCCCACGACCGTTCGTCCTCTCGCACGCAAGGCTCCGCCCTACCTCTCCAGGGCCGGCCTCGGCGGACGGCCTTCCCGCCGCGACGAGCGACGCGGGCCCGCAATGTTTTGAGGCTGCCTCCTGAGCTTGGTGGCATCTGGTCGTCTCCTGCTCCGATGCGAAGCAGCCCTTGCCGCTGCTGCTCCTCATTGTCCTCCTTCCTCTTCCTCTTCCTCATCCTGATCTCACCCTCGCCATCCTCCTCTGCTTCCTGATCCGAGGCTGCAGTATTCGATGGCGTCAGCCTGTCTTCCGGCCAGGAGAAGGCAGCAGGAAGCGACCCTTCCTACTCATACTCTTCGATGATCCAAGCGGCTTGCGTCATTCCGCCAACCCCCAGAAGGAGTGAGGGCTTACCTGATCGTGCAGGTGATCTTGTGGGCCAGGATCCTCTTGGGTGCATGTGAGTGGCTCTTGTGGTGCCTGTGAGGGGCTCCTTGGAGTGCTCTTGGGGGCATCTGGGGGGGCCCTCTGGGGGGGCCCTCTGGGGTTTCTTGGGGGCCTCTTGGGGCCTCGAGGGCTTCTGGGGGCCTTGAGGTCCATTTCCGGGGGGGGAGAATTCGAAACGTCAGTTCCAATTCAGAAGGCCGCCTGCCCAACAGCGGCCGCTGTCGGTTTGGGGCAGCATCTGTTGTTGAGCACTGTGCCCATGTTCTCCGTGCCCATTTCCTGGCATCGCTCGGTCTTCTGTACTTTTTGTTTTCTCGGCGAGGACCCTTGAGGAACATCCTGGATCATCGAGCGAAAAAAGCACGCACGAAATCGAAAAATGCACGGGAAATGGACGTCCGAGCGACGGCAAGATATCGGGCGTCCACACGCAGGCTGCCTCGGGCTCGGCCTGCGCCGCAGATGGGGCCTGCCGCCTGCCGGCTCGCGCGGCCGGGCCCGAGGGGGAGCGCCCTGGGCCGCCTGTCAGATCTCGAGCGCCGCAGTCTGTTTTTGCAGCGTGGAGCCCTGGAGGTCTTGCCCACTTCATTGGGGCAGTCTTTGGTTCGGGGGTGGACAGAGCCCCCAACAGTGACACGTCGATTCGTGAATTGTCCTTTTTCGGTTCTCGAGAGGGCGCCGTGGCCCTTATTCCCCAGGCTTGCAACCGCCAGGTTTGGGCCTCAGGTCGTTTTCACTAAACCACGTTTTACTCGAGGGGGGTCTGTCCATCCCCGATTGATTCATTCAGGTATCTGGGCCACCCTGGAGGTCTTGCCCACTTCCTTGGGCTTGGCATCGCTCGGACGTGTGCATTTTTTTTCGGCGAGAACCATCGAGGAGCATCCTTGATCATTTGGCGAAACAACCACGCACGAAACCGAACAAAAACACAGGGAATAGACGTCCGAGCGATGGCTATTGGGGCAGTCTTTGATTCATCCAGGTATCCGGGCCGCCCTCCGGGGGCGCGAAGATGTCCGCCCTTCGCGCGCCGCGGCGGGGGCCGCCGAGCTGGCCTCCTCCGCCTGGCGGCGCGAGGGCGCGAAGGCCACCGCGCGCCGCGCCTCGCGGGGCGCGCTGTGCTGCTCGCGCGAGCCGGTTGCCGCGCGTGCGGAGGCGCCCTTTGGAGGATGTATTGGGCGCCGCGGCCGCTCCAGACCGTTCCGGAACGCTCTGAGAGCGCTCCGGAACGCTCTGGAGCGATTTATCCCGATCCTAGCCCTGTTTTAGTGTCAGTCCCCAGTTTGGCCCGAGCCGCTTCGGATCCAGTGCCCAGTTCCAGCCAGCGCGCCAGATTCGCCGCCCCGCGCGCTGCAGCAGCAGCCTCGCGATGCATCTGCCCACGGCGCTTGCTGGGCTGGTCGGGCTGGCCCTGCTCGCGCGGGGCGCGCCGGCTGCGCAGGATCTGGTGGGTACGGAAAGAACGGGTACAGTCGGGGCCCTGAAGAAGGAACCCTTTTCGTTGGGGAGGGGCTCCGCGTTCCTTAAGTGTTTCGCAGCTTTCCTCAGGCTTTCCTTCATGTTTTCGATCGGAAATCGAGGTTGAACTTATGGGAAAAAGGGGCCTCGTTCCTTATTCAGGGCTCCTTAGGTCAACGCCCCGACGGCACAATGCCCAACAGCAGTTTCTGTTCATTTTGAACAGGACTCGCTGTCCACGCCGCCGCGGCCTGTGGCCATTCGAGACAGGAGGCCGCCTCCCTAACAGCGGCCGCTGTCGGTTTGGGACAGCACTTGTTGTTGGGCATTGTGCCCATTCTTTCCGTGCCCACTTCGGGCGTTCAAACAGGAGGCCGAGTCCTGCGAGGCCGCGGGCGGGTGCGAAGAGGCAGGGCTCGCGCAGCTCAGGACCTTCTTCGCGACGAAGGGCGGCGACTCTGTCCAGGAGGAGGGCGGCTGCAAGTCCAACGGCGATATGTGCATGTCGGACGACAAGTGCTGCTCGGGGAGTTGCGTCGGCGGCGGTTCTATGATCCCTGGACAGGTTCTGGGTCGCTGCGCCGATGGGGCCAGCCTCGCGCAGACGGATCAGTCGCAGGGTGACACGACGCAGGGCGGCGACTCTGACCAGGAGGAGGGCGGCTGCAAGTCCAACGGCGATATGTGCATGTCGGACGACAAGTGCTGCTCGGGGAGTTGCGTCGGCGGCGGCTCCATGATCCCTGGGCAGGTTCTGGGTCGCTGCGCCGATGGGGCCAGCCTCGCGCAGACGGATCAGTCGCAGGGTGACACGCGCAGGGCGGCGACTCTGACCAGGAGGAGGGCGGCTGCAAGTCCAACGGCGATATGTGCATGTCGGACGACAAGTGCTGCTCGGGGAGTTGCGTCGGCGGCGGCTCTATGATCCCTGGGCAGGTTCTGGGTCGCTGCGCCGATGGGGCCAGCCTCGCGCAGACGGATCAGTCGCAGGGTGACACGACGCAGGGCGGCGACTCTGACCAGGAGGAGGGCGGCTGCAAGTCCAACGGCGATATGTGCATGTCGGACGACAAGTGCTGCTCGGGGAGTTGCGTCGGCGGCGGCTCTATGATCCCTGGGCAGGTTCTGGGTCGCTGCGCCGGTGGGGCCAGCCTCGCGCAGACGGATCAGTCGCAGGGTGACACGACGCAGGGCGGCGACTCTGACCAGGAGGAGGGCGGCTGCAAGTCCAACGGCGATATGTGCATGTCGGACGACAAGTGCTGCTCGGGGAGTTGCGTCGGCGGCGGCTCTATGATCCCTGGGCAGGTTCTGGGTCGCTGCGCCGATGGGGCCAGCCTCGCGCAGACGGATCAGTCGCAGGGTGACACGACGCAGGGCGGCGACTCTGACTAGGAGGAGGGCGGCTGCAAGTCCAACGGCAAGCTATGCGACAGGGACAGCAAGTGCTGCTCGGGGAGATGCGGCGTCGGTTGGGGGCGCTTCTCGAAATGCTTCTGAAGACCTTCGCGCCCTGCGCCGAGGTCCGATTCGGCTCACGTCGTGGGAGTGAGTGCGCGGCGCGCCCGCTTGGTCCAAAGCTGACGGGTGCTGAAATGCACGAGGAACGTTTGCGCTGGATTACAGAGGTGTGGATTGCTGCGCGTTTTGCCCGCGCGTGCGAACCAATTTCCAGGGTTTGAAGCGCAGAATTTGCTTCGGGCTCGCAGTGGTAGGTCGGCCCTAACGGTGCCACTGGCCACGCCGTTGCAAACGTCTTCCGAGCACGATGGAAAACGGGAACCTGGCGAGACCCCATGCGGTTGAAAGTTTCCAGAGTAAGTAGCTCACCACGGAAGTGTATGCCTTGCGTTGTTTTGCATTGCTTGGCTTGCGCAGTGCTTGGCGGTGCTTTGCGTTGATTTGTTTGGGCATTGCCTTACATGGCTGGGAGTTGCTTGGCGTTGTTTGGCAGTGCCTGGCATTGCGTGGCAAAGCTTGGCATTGCTCGGCATTGCTTCGAATTGCGTTGCTTGGCATGTCTTGGCGTTGCGTCGCATTGCGTTGAGTTGCCTTGCGTGGTATTGCGTTGCTGGGCATATTTTCTGGCATTGCACTGCATGTCTTGGCATTTTTACGTTGCGTTGATTTGCTTGGCGTCGCTGCGTGTTGCTTGGCTTTGAATTGCCTTGCTTGGCAACTGGGCAACGGCCACTTCGAGTTCGGCCAGCAATGACATTTTTTGTTGATTAAATACTCTGGGCCGATGACGGCCGTCATCTGGGGGGTGGGGGGGGGGGATGCCGTCGCGTTTCGTGCCATCGGCGTCTTAGTAGAATGTTTAGGATTGACCGAGGGCGGGTAGCAACAGCATGTAGGTGGCGATTTGCAACGCATCGCCTGTGTATACCACGGTGCCCGCGTGCACCACAGCGCCTGTGTAAACCACGACGCCTATGTACACCACAGCAGCCGCGCGCAACGCGGCGCCAGTGTGTGCCACCGTGCCCGCGTGCACCATAGCGCTTGTGTACACCACAGCGCCTGCGTACACCACATCAGCCGTGTGCAACGCAGTTCCACAGTACACCACAGTGCTCGCGTGCACTATAGCCCCTGCGTGCACCACGGCGCTTGTGTGCACCACAGCAACCGCGTGCAACAAAGCATCCGTGTGGTGTATGTGTATATATACGTAGAAGGTGAAAGGGGCCCTTTTATGACAAACTGGAGCATTTCTTGTCCATCGGATTTGGAAAAAAATGAGTTCTCATGGAAAAAAGAGCGCCAGTGGAATCTACGTAATCTCCTGAATCCTCCCGCATCATCCCAACTCCTCCCACTTGCGCCCACTCGGTTCCCGCAAAATTGGCCGTCCGAGAACCAAGTGGACCGATTCAATCGACCATTCTGCGGTGCACGCTGAGACGCGCACGTGCGCTGTAGCGCCGACCCGCACGACGGAGGGAGTGGTGAGGTAGGGGGAGGAGGAGGACGCGGAGGACGAAAAAGGGGAGGAGGAGGAGGAAAAAGGAGGAGGGACGAGTCTTGCATTCTATTATCAGCACCCCCTCTGGCGTTGTGCTTAGGTGTCCGCATCAGATCCTCACGTGCATGCTCTTTCTAACTTTCCTGTGCACGCAAGCGCTGAGGCGTACATCAGCGCAGCGTTGCACACAGGAACCGTGGTGTGCACAGGCGCTGCGGTGTACACGTTAGTTGTTGCGTACACAGGCGCTGCGGTGCACGCAGGCACTCTGGTGCACACAGGCGCTACGTTGCACACAGCTGTTGCGGTGTACGCAGGCGCTTTGGTGTACACGCGCACGGTGGTGCACGCGAGTATTTGTTGTGTGCACAGGCGCCGCGTTGAAGATCGCCGCCAACATGCTGGCCCTACTTGGCCTCGGTCATCCCTGGACATTCTCCGACGCCGCCAGCGCGGAACGCGACGTCACCTGGCGGGGGGGGGCGGGGGGGGGGCGGGGCCGATGACGGCCGCCATCTCGGGAAATAAAAAAGTTGATCATATTTGGCACGTGGGCAACCGGGGAATTCGAACGAGGTTGGGCAACTCGAGGGCGGCCAGGCATCTGGGTGACCGGGCAACCCGAGGAACCCCGAGCAACCCCAGGCAATTCGGGGATCGCCAGCCGACCAGACCGCACACTCATTGGTTGTTTAAAAATATACGGGGAGTTTTAGGCGACACCAAATTGTGGAACATGTGAGGAGTGTTTCTGATCCCTCCTTATCCTCCTCCTCCTCCTCCTCCTCCTCCTCCTCCTCCTCCTCCTCCTCCCCTTCCCCTTCCTCATTACCTCGAGCTCGCAAGGTGCAACCATTCCAAGTAGAACCGCATGCTTGCACCAGGACCCCATGAGTTGTGGTTCGCTCGTTGTCCCTCCCTCCTCCCTGGGAGTGAGCCCCCTGCCTATCCTCTCCTTCGCTGTGCCCGCTGCCCCTTTCGGCTCGCAGGCGTTGGCAAGTGCGCGTTGGATTTTAGGATAGTGGAGACGGGTAAAAGCGTCATCATACAAGCGGGGCGCTGAAGAGGGAACCCTTTTCGTTGGGGGGTGTTCCGTGTTCCTCATGTGGTTCGCAGCTTGTCTTAGGTTGTCCTTAGGTTTTCGATTGGGAATCGAAGTTTAACTTGTGGACAAAAAGGGCCTCATTCCTTATGTAGGGTTCATTATGTCAACGTCCCGACTGTAGTCCTTCGCTCACCTCTGCCGCCGTTGCCGACCTGATGCTCGGGAGGGGCTCGGCCTCTCCGTCGCACCTTCCCCCGCGCGTGCCGGCCCTCCCGCGGCGGGGCGCCAGTTCTGCACGGGTGGCGACCGGCCCGCCTCGTGCGGGCGCGCTGCTTTCGGCGGCGGACGCTGGTGACTCCCCTGCCTCGCCAGCTTTCGCGCGCAGCCTTGAGGATATGATGGGTTCTCCCAGGCCCCCAGACGCTTTCGACGTGTTCGAGGATTTGGAAGGTCTGACCTACCCACGATGCTCTTGGCGGTCCGAGGCTACGCGCCGCGCCCGCAGTAGGAACAATTGACCATGGAACCTTCGCCCCTTCCGCTCAGCTCCTCGGGGGGCGCCCGTTGCGGGCGGCAGCTTCCGCGGACAGTGTCGCCCATAGGATGCTCACCGCTTGCGAGGGGAAACCCCTGCAAGCGCCGGCGCCCGAGAGCATGGTAACGCTCGCGGCGCTCATGGCCGAGGAGTCCTCGGCCTCGCCGCTCAAAGCTTGCGGGGGGGGGGCTTCATGTGGATAATGAGGCAGGGGTGGAGCACGCGGACGCGAAACCTGATGAGCAACACCATAAATCTGAATCGCGGATTGGCCCGAGTTGGCCTGACATGCCCTTCGTGCTCCGATCGCATCAACAATCGCACCGCGGCGATCCATGTGCTCAAGTCGCCCTGGCGACTTGGGGACATATAGGCGCAGGTTCGCTCACTCACTTCGTTGATATGTGCGGAGTCGCCCTGGGGACTTCGGAACGTATGGTGCCAAGTCCCCAGGCCGAGTTGAGAACGCATCATCGCAATCTAATACTACATGTTCTCAAGTCGCCCTGGCGACTTGCGAACATATGTTCTCAAATCGCCGTGTCAAGTTGAGCACGGTGTGCCAACTCTGCCTGGCGACTTGGGAACATGTGGTCGCAGGTCGCCACAGCGACTTGAGAACATGGGTGTCTACGCTCTCAGGGCGACGCGCCGACGCTCGCAGGGCGGCGCGTCTGCCCAATTCCAGCTGCAATGAGGTGCCAGTATCCCAGTATCTCTTATCCACCCGCCATTGTCTCTCAATCGTGCCGTGCTGCATGCCTTGTCGGCGTCGCGTTCCTCCCTTGCGTGCGCCCCCCACGCCCCCTCCCCCCCTTCCCCCCCCCTTCCGCCAGCCCCTCGCCCGCCGTCGCGTGCCCTCGACCATCGCCGCTCACCCGTTATCCTTTTCTTGGTCCTCCTCATTTGGTTTAGTATTCCCATTCCCCACGTGTGCCACACATCCCTCCTCTACATAGTCTCCCCATTGTCTGGCAGACACTGCGCGGTGAAACCTGGCGAACGGCTGCAACCGTCCAGGGGGCATCGCGCTCCCCCCCCCCTACCACTCGCTGCCAGACCCCTAACGATGGCGAGACGGGGCGGGCGAAGGTCCCAACCATATGCAGTAGTGAATACCGCAATTGTGAACATCGTCGTCGTGAAGCCCCCTATGGGGCCACGATCCTCGCGGTGTGTGTGTGTGCCGAAATGGCCCGACGCCGACATGCGAACCCTGCCATTGAGGCCGTCGGTGGAGCTCCCCATGCGGTCACGATCCTAGTGAGGGGTGCGCCGACATGGCCCGAGGCCGCCATGCGAACCATGCCACGTGCGTGTTCGGTGGAGCTCCCCATGGGGTCACGATCCTCGTGAGGGGTCTGCCGAAATGGCCAGACGCCGCCATGCGAACCCTGCCATTGGGACCTTCGGTGGAGCCCCCTATGAGACAGCGATCCTCGCGAGGGGTTTGCCGACATGGCCCGAGGCAGCCATGCGAACCCTGCCGTTGGCGCCGTCGGTGGAGCCCCCTATGAGGCCACGATCCTCGCGAGGGGTGTGCCGACATGGCCCGAGGCTGCCATGCGAACCTTGCCGCGGGGGCCTTCGGTGGAGCTCACGATGGGGCCACGATCCTCCTGGAGGGTGCGCAGACATGGCCCGATGCCGCCATGCGAACCATACCGCGTGCGCTTTCGATGGAGCTCCCCATGGGGCCACGATCGGTGTACCGAAATGGCCAGAGGCCGCCATGCACACCCTGTCATTGGGACCGTCGGTGGAGCCCCCTATGCGACAACGATCCTCGTGAGGGGTTTGCCGACATGGCCCGAGGCAGCCATGCGAACCCTGCCACTGGCGCCGTC